CATATCTATAAATAAAATAATTAGTTATTATATTATAATAAAATATAAATAGAAAATTAAATTAAAATTACATACTCAGTCATTTTTATTAAGAATTTTTGACGATATTTAACTACATCTGGTCTTTCATGTCCGTCAACATAAATACCTTTATGATATTTTTTATATCGAAAACCCATTTTAAGCAACCAACGTTTAGCAGTAGATTTTCTATCATATATGTTAAATAAATAAATATATATTATTAATTTTTTTTATTAAATTATTAAAAATTATACAAATATTTAAAATTAAAATTAATTACCCAATTCGTGTTGTATAATTGACACCCGACTTTGGAAAAATAACATCTAAAACGTAATTAACAAAATCTGATAAGTAAAATTTAAACTTATTTACACGTAAATAAGTAATAATTTCATTACGTATATCCTCATCTTCAAGTAAACTATGTACTTTAATATGTTTCCACGCATAGAATTCGGAATTTCCTCTTCTTTTGCTAATATATGAGCCCAACTTCGAAGTTGTCGAGCAAAATATTCATTTTTCCCTAATTGCCTTGTAACATAAAGACTTGAAGGTATTTTTTTGCAATTAAATCTAAGAAGCTGAAGATATTGAAGCACAGCTGTTAACCGCCATTGTTGTTCTGATACCAAAGTTTTGTCATGAAGTTTTATTTCTATTAAATGAATTAATTCTTTAAGCTCAATTTCTGTTTCTGATTCAGTGGATGATGCATCGGAATCAACATTCTCAATTTCATTATTATCCGATTCATTTAATTTAATAGGAGAAAAGAACTGATTAATGGTACATCCATTTTGGATGACCATTTTTTTTGCATTTGATTTGCATCTTTTTTGTGTTTTAATACTATTACCATTATATTGAAGTGGCCGTTTTGAAGGTTTTAATTTTTTTGCTCCATGATGTAACTTTTCAAGCGTACCTTTTGGTTCCTTATCAAGTTCTTGATGATCCTAAATAACTTCATCATTAGAAGAGTCAGACACTTCTTCAGAAAGTTTCGAATAAGAACTATCGATAAAAATTGGCTTTTGTGAAGAGTTTGCACGTATCAAATGATTTTTTTGCTTGGACTGACATCCCATTATAAAAGCAAATGCAAAAAAAAATTGCTTAGCCACGAATTTACGATTGAATTTCACATGATTTACTGTGGCTTCGGAGTGCTAAATTCACATGCATATATAGTAATACATAATAAATTTAATCAAATTTTAAATTCTTATTCCTCTTTAACAAATGATTAGATTTAAAAAAACTTTTCATTAGTTTTATTGTAATTTTACAAATAATAGAAAAATGGAAAAGATTTTATCAAA